ACGAATCCATCGTTTGTTAGAAAATAAGTTTGTCTATCAGTTGGACACACCGTTTGAATGTTAAATAAATTGTCAATAATTTGTGGTTTGAATACATTATCCGTTATATTGTGTCCCAAATGGCAACGATTTTGACCCCAACTGAAGACTCGGCCATCAGTTGTGACGGCAAATGAGGAAAACTCACAACAATAAACACTACGTATTTTATATTCAATTCCATTGTCTATAAATTGTATTTTCATAGGAATTATTATTTCAAGCGAGTGCTTTTCTTCACAACCTAACTGTCCGTATCTATTATAACCCCATCCGTAGACACAGTCATCTCCGGTGACCACAAGTGAGTGATAATCGCCACAACTTATATCACGGATATCCGGATTGTTAGGCAATGATATAATTATGGGCTTTAAAAATTCATTAGTTGAGGATTGAGCCAATTGTGCCAAATCATTACGGCCCCAACCGTATATACAGTTTTTGTCATTTATGGATACAACATAATTGTGTCCAAAATAAAATCGCTGTATATTTTGATGACATAATTCTGGTATAATATGTGGTGTATTGACATCTTTATTGTGTCCCAAACCGAGTGATCCGTTATTATTAGATCCCATGCCGTAAACCATATCATCGTTTGTTACATAAAATACATTATACCCCTTGTAATCGTGAAAAACATGATATAATTTAATTTTGTTTATATCAAACATAATGTTCGGCCGACTATGCGTTGGCTCATTGGCATCATGTGTTTGGACGGGAAACTTAGCCCTCATTTCTCCTATTGATTTTAGTTTTATTAACGGACTTCCTTTCTCTCTCGTTACCTCATTTCGGCCTATTTTCTCAAATATATCTCCCAATTGACCGATACTTTCTTTTGTGACCAACGGTTTGGCCATAATGTCGGCGGAAGCATTGACTACACTTTCGAGCACGTAGTTTTCCTGCCCACAAATATGCGATATCTTTTCAATTCCGGGCGGCTTAACTGAAAACTCTGCATCCAATTCACCACTTAATTGGGGTTTTATTAACGAATTTTGTAGTTCAAATTTACTATGGTCATTTGTTGATTGTTTATCAGTATTAAATTTATCATAATCAGTTTCCGCAATTTGTTTCAAATCAATTGTATTATAAGTTATTTGACATTCATTTGCGTAAAAGTCATTAAAATTATTATAATCTGTTTCAATAATTGTGTGGTCCTTTGATATTTTACAGATTTTCTTATTAATTAAAACACATATGAATTCAATTCTATTCATAAAATATGAGTGAATTTCTTGAAATTTTTCAAAAGAATAATTATTAAATATTTGTTTCGGAATTTTTTCAATTATTTTACTATCATTTTTATAATATTTGCCACAAAAGTATAACCCATTGGTTGCCAAGAAATATGTGCCATAAATGCTATAACAAATTGTTTTTACATTATTTATGTTAGCAATTAATCGTGGTTCAAATAAATTATAATCTGCAGTATTGTGTCCCAACTCATGGCCTCTATTGTCGCCCCAACTGAACACATGTCCATCGGTTGTGATGGCAAACGATGAGTTATAACAACAATAAATAGATTTGATACTATTATTATTAAATTTTAACTTGATTGGTGTCAATAAATATTGGGCATTATCTCCGCAACCAATTTGTCCATAACCATTGCCACCCCAGGCATAGACTGCGCCATCACCAGTGAATACAAGGGTATGAAAATATCCATAACTTACTTTCATAATATTTTTATCATCAAAATCTTTTATTATGGTTGGATTTAAAGTAATTTGACCGATTTTATTACCCCGGGCCAACTGCCCCCATATATTATTGCCAAATCCGTAAATCATATTATTATCACTTACTGCTAATACAAAGTTCAATCCATTGACAAAGTATTGTATGTTTTGCTGACATAATTGTGGGACCAGTTGTGGTGATAGTACGGGTCTGTTGTGTCCCAAACCCAAACATCCATCCATATTATTCCCGAAACCATAGACCATATCATTATTGGTTATAAACAATATATTAATCTCATTGTTATAATCGTAGAAAACATGTAATTTTTTAATATTATTGTTAATAATTGTAGGAATTTTATCATAAAATGAAAATTTCTTCAATAAATCACATATTTTTATATAATTGTAATTGTTGATAATTATATATTTTTATTAAATTAACTAGTTACAAAACATGATAACGTTTTAATGTCAATAATCAGTTAAAACCATTGGAAACGGCAATTTAATGGGAAAATAATTTTATACAATATTATATGATAAACCTATTGTTATACTTTTATTTTTATTAGAAATAAATATAATTGTTAAATAATGTGAGAAATATTAATGCATTTTTTTTTATAAAATGTCATATAATTAAATATTTTTTCATGTTTTATAGATGATAATACAGGGTTGGGCATAAGTAGCTAGAGTTTTAATTAATTTTTTAAAAATACTTAGAGTTGAGATATTTTGTTCAAGTAAATTTTGTTTTATTTACAAATAATGATAGTTTTATTGGAACTAATGGATGAGGATCTCAAAGTGACCACCTTCGCACACAATCAAATGCCGTAAAAAGTGACAAAAAACCTGTCCGTCGGTCGAATCTTCTAAGTCGAATAACTCGAAAAATATTCGAGATAAAAAATTTTAATTTCAAATTCAAACTCAGCGTTAAATTCTACATCGAATTCATATATAATATTAATAAATTGAGTTAATTATAAATTATCGACGGACCAAAGGACCAACGGATTGAGGGGTAAAAAAGCCCTCCCCTCAAAAAATTCCATCATGTTCGGCAATAAAGGCAGGTAATTAAATATTATCAATTTATTATGATGTTATTTATAAATAAATTTAAATATTCATTTTAAGTTCAAAAGTTCAAAATACTACATTTTTATATCGTCTGAAACATTGTATCAAAATATAGTTTCAATATTGACTTGATTATACATCATAGGATTAAAAAATCAATTTACATAAACCACCGAGAGAGAAGTTATTCAATAAAAACAAAATCAGATTATTCTGTCCTTACGTGTATATTTGATTAGTAATTTAATTAGTAATCATTTTTGTGTTATGGCAAAAATTGTATATTATAGTATATTGTGAATAGTATATTGATTAGCGTGACCACCTCTAGGTTTAAAAATAGAGAACATTTGACCAAATTCCCTTTAAAATAGAGAACACATATTTTACGTTAATTTTTCTTCTAAATTTAAAAATAAAGATTATTTAATACCAATGTTGAAGTAACATTTATTGAGTTAGTTGTATTAAAAAATGGCAATTATTAATCAAGAAAGTGTCAATTCCTTTAAAAAGTTTATTATTGTATAGATAAATAAATATTTAATAAATTTAGTAACATTTCTATTATTTATTTTAAATTTAAAATAGAGAACAGTTCTCTATTTTGTCCAAATACAGGTCCAAATAGAGAGCTGTTCTCTGAAATAGAGCACAGGTGGTCACGCTAATATTGATGTTAAACTGTACTTTATAACGGCAACAATTTTAACGTGAATGCTTAGTGTTAAGTGATTCTAAAATTATAAAGCTTTTATTAATTATCATCTATTTTACAACTCATTTCGTCTATGTTGTATACAATATAGCTTACATGATCACTAATGGCCAAAATTAAGTGGGCAATTTAATGGACAGTTTAGTATCGCCTAATGTAAACTGAAACGTCTCTCTATGCACTTTCTCAATGCGAAACCACTTATAAACGGCCGCAGCGGACACTATAAGGGACAGCAACAGCAATATAACGCCGGCCACTATTCAGTCGATGAATAACAAACAGGCGATAATGAAGACGATAAAAGCGAAGACACCGATATGCCAGGCCCTCACTTTCTCGTTACATGTTTTTCTCACACGACTGATCGACATCTCACTTGGTTTGCGATTAAAATATACGTAACGAACCAACAATACGCATAAATTATTCAACTAAATGAGATTGTTTGTTTGTTTTTGTATAACTGATATATTTTTGTATTTAATTGTGATTATTGTGGTTAATTTATCAAGCCTGATGTCTTGGAAACAATAGCAACCAGCGATTAGATTACATCCAATAAAGTATTAATTACTAATTAAATTTTGACATTTGAAATAAATATGCACACTTCTATTATACAAGCTATATATGAAGGTTTGCCATATTTTTCATAGTAAAACATTACAAAGTAAAAAATAATTCTTGTTATTTTAAAATTATTTTAAAAAGAATAGATCAAACATCTATTGTCCAATTTTAATAAACTATCAAACAAGTATAAATTGCACTTTATTCCCAGCTACTCATCATTATATTATAATCTTATTAGTATCTCTGTTGTTTTAGAGACTACATATTTATATTACTGTATATTTAAACTATTACCAATCACTTTGGTAATCTTCACTCCAATCATCACGGAAAAATGATAAATTTTAGTATAATTGTTAATGTAAATAAAATAAAGTATCTTTATATAACTGTTTTGTGTGAGTCAAACTTATTTGTGCATTGAATAAACGTTAGGATGTGTATATGTTGTATAGAAATGAACATAATAGACAAATGATATAAAAAATATATAATTTGCTTAAAAATATAAAGATAATTATGTGTGAATAGTGTTATTTGATTTTTGAAGTAATATTATTGCCACTTATATCATTAAGTTGTCTATCATTTTTTGTTAAACATATTGTTAGAAAATAAATATAGAAATAAATTAGGGTTAAAAAATTTAGTAAATTAAAAGTACTGTTAATGATGGGAATACTTATTTCACTATAGATGATAGTCCTAGAAGCCCTTTTGTAATTAAATTTGATGAAACTTTAAAATAAACATTTTTTTATATAATAAATTTTTCGTATTTTATAAATTTGCCTAGAACGTGCATTTTCTAACAACATGTATATAATGTTTAATTAATAAATATGTTACATAATTAATTAATGTTGTATCTGTAAATGATTTATTTAAATATGTTAAACTTGTTTGTTGAGCTATTGCGATAGGGTGTCCATCACATTATGTACTAACATTTGGATCCTTCTGATCTCCTGCTCGAGCTATACGCGCTGCCTCTTCGAGCACTTCCGCCGCGACATTCATTCCCCTCTTTCTATACAAAAGTCCCAAATTGTTGAATACTGTGACCACTGATGGACTAAATATATAAAACACTAAATTAATTTACAAACGTGACAAGATTTGAGGTACTAACCATTTATCGACCACCTGATGCCAATCAGCATATTCAACATTATTGGGCACTCCATTATTGGCAATGATTTCCTCCCTTTCCTCAGCGAACTGCCAAATGGGCTTATTTTGGGCGTCAATACAACCGAACTCTCGCTCGTGAGCTCTGGTCAGCACTTGTTTGTATAATAGTTCCGCCTCCTTATACTTGCCCTGTTTGAGATAAGCTGCGGCCAAATTGATTTGCGTTTTGGCCACATTCGGGTCGTCCGCAACCAACACTTTCTCATATATCTCGAGAGCCCTTAAGTAATACTTCTCCATCTCATCGTATTTGCCCTGATTTTGGCACAAAAGCGCCAAATTGTTCAGTTGTTTCGCAACGTCGGGATGAGAATCGCCTAAAACACGTTCTCTTATCTCGAGTGCTCGCTTGCAAAGTGGTTCCGCCGCTTTATATCGGCCGCGCTTTCCATAGAGTACGGATAAATTGTTGAGAGTGGCCGCCACTGCCGGATGGTTTACACCAAGTGTTTTCTCTCGAATAGTGAGCGCATCGTTTAGTAAGTTTGCCGCTTCCCTATACTTATACTGATCTCTATATACGAGGGCCAATATGGTCAACATAGTAGCCACATCCGGGTGGTTGTGACCACTCGTCTTCTCCAAGTCTTCTAGCGCTTGCTTACAGAGAGGAACCGCCACTTCATATCTGCCCTGAGAGGCGTATTGTATGACTACATTATGTAAAGTTCTCAGTCGTGCGGGTATTTCATAGCCTTCTGTCATTTCTACGGCGGATGGCGTCACGCTTTCGGGATAAACCGCATTATTTTCAACGGGCGGTTCGGCTTCCATTTGACTCGTTTCGCCCGACAATATGTCGCATTTCTGTGAATACATATCAACGTATAAGCTTAATATATCATTTTTTGTATAAATAATTCGCATGGTTAAATGCAGTATTATGAGTGTTTGTGGATGGCGTAATCTATGGGGAGACCCAATTCTCTTGCTGCATGCTTGAATAAAAGTCTGTTCGTACAACTGGGTCTACCCATAAATTACCAAGCTAGAATCACATAAAATTCCTGATTCTGGCATTATTTGACATTACATTGTTTTGCAAAATAAGTGCTCAATAATGCTCATACTTGGATGTGCTGTTCACCGTATTTTATCAGTGAATTCATGAATTTCAAGTGCATAATCTCCACATCTAATTGAGCCTCCATCTGTCCGGTGGCCTGAATTTTCTGCTGAGTGTTTGCCAACTCGTCCCGAAACCACGCATTCTCTTTACATAAACTACTCACCTGTGCCCTCAGTTTTTGCACCTCGTCGTCGATTGTATGCAAATGTTCTGCCAGTGCTGTCATCACCTAATAATTGACCATGTAATTAGTCCACATTCAGCACGTTTTGTTTAATTATATTCGTTTGCATACCTGAGCCTCTTCCAGCCCTAACTCGATGGAATCAAGTCTGGTCTGAACGATGTCGGCCTCATTTGTCATGAGTTTGGTTTTGGCGCCCTCTGTGGCCGTCTCCCGGACCCCATCGAGTGATGCCATAAGACCGACCAAAATCATGTTATGTTTATTCCTGACTGATTCCAAACCTTGGATCGCAATCTTGGTATTTGTTATTATCAATACAAGAACGTGGTTAGAGTTTTCTGGGTTTGTAATTGGAAGTAGGCTGATAGATGCATCATGCTGACTAGTTAATGTTTGGTCAATAATGGATTCAAGTTGCACATCAATTTTGTTTGTCTCAACTTGTTTATCAAAATCAGTCGACACAATATTATTATTTAATTTACGTATCAAAAAGTTGCTGAAAAATTTGTTACTTTTGTCTTTCAGTGAATTTAGTATTTCATTCAATTCTGTGTCATTTCCTGTAATTATCTGTCTATCGACTGACCACTGGTTATAATCGTCGAGGACTTGAGCACTGGTCGGCCGATTGTCGGGCATATACTGAACCATTTGTCCAATCAGTTCATAAAATTTATTTATATTTGCAGAAAATATTGCTAAACTATAAGTTTTCATAGAAGAACTATTGGAAAAGAATTAAAAATGTAAAAATATATTATATCAATAAAAGATTATCTCATAAATATGTTGATGTAACATTTCAATAAAATCATACTTGTTAAATAAATCTAATAAATGCTGTGCAATGACGCCCAGGCTATAAATGTCAACCTTAATCGTATATCTCGACTGATGTACTTCAGGTGCCATATAAGCCGAAGTGCCGGCCCCTGCCGTGTGGCTCATGGATGGCATGTCGTGATCGGTGGCCAAACCAAAGTCACACAGTTTTATGAACCGATTTGACATAAAGTTGTGTTCAATTAATATATTGTCGGGTTTGAGATCCCGATGAATGACCGGCGGATCCGATGAGTGGAGAAATTGAACGCATTCTAGAATTTCGGTGAATATTTCACAGCAAATGAAATACTCGTAAACATTGATCGGGTCTTCCGGTTGTCGACCGAAGACAATGGCTTTGTCTTTGATAACAGTTTTAAGGCTTTGCGAACACAACTCCATCTGAATGTACAGATGGTTAGACTCAGGCCATGACGTGATGTATTTGACCACAAAATCTGAGTCTAATTTTAACAAAATTTTCACTTCTCTCAGAATTCTTTGTTTTTTCTCTTCACTAAAATCTGGGAAAATATTTATTTAAAATTATATAAAATAAATACAATATAATTTCATGACATATACCTCCATATTCTACTCTTTTTATCGCATACATCTTATCATCTAATTTGTGCTGTACTTTAAATACTGTCCCAAAACCACCCGATCCTAATTCGGCGATCATGGTGAAATTGTTGAATCGTTCAGTTGACATGTTCACATCAATGTTAATAGATTAATATTTCTAGCGGTAAATGCATTGATGTAAAAGCTTAATGATCAGCTTTGTTGGTCTAGAGGTAAAAGCTCTAGGGCAGATCAATGTGTGGCAGGTCCTGGGTTCGATACCCGTCAGGGACTTGTTTCACAATCTGTTTTTCCAACTTAATTACAGCTGAGAGGGTAGTCGGCGTGCCCTCGTTAATACGGACGCTAGTGAAATGTAAATATAAATTAATATAAAAGACCCCCTCATGGAAGATCAGCTATGCTGAATGAGCAGGGTCTCTAAATATCAATAATTTCATTTCAAAGTTGTCAAAAATGCTAACTTGGTTTCCTTTGTTGATATTTTATTTTTTACATGATGTCAAATTAAACAACTATTATATAGTATATATACTGTACAATAGAACATACGATTATATTATATAAATAATACATTATTTAAATTATTATAAAAACTTTAAATATAAAATAATTTCACTATGATTTACAGGAATTATATCACAATTTTAACTTTAATTGCATTATTAATGTTCGTATTACTTATGTAA